TTCTTTTCTCGTCGGGTGTGAAAATCATGTTTCGGGTCGTCGCCGCTGCAAAAGCTGTGACCTGACTGCAGGCTCCCCGAGAAATACTTTGTGCTGCCAAATCCTCGCGCTCCAAATCTGGGACTGGGCACTCTATAGTTACGTCATCGAACTGCCAGGCGTTGTGAGTATAGCGGAGGCTATGGTTATACACTACCTGGAAATTGAGAATGCAGATCCCCTCCAAGGGCTGATAAAAACTGCCGCAACCATTTGAATCTCAGTAATTCTACTCAATCTGCCAGCCACCGAAGAGCAATTTGATAACAAGAGGAGGGAGAAATACTCCTCACGTAGATTTGATCAATTAGTGGCACCAATGAATATCGTCCCGTAGTGATTTCCGGACGCGTCGAATGCACGAAAGCTTCGTCGAGGCAGGTTTCCGAACAGATAAACAAAACACACAGCGGCGTGACTTGCCGTCGTTGCAGCTCACAACTGCGAGGCACACGGTTGCACCCGAGCTATACGAGAAAATAAATTGGACCGATTAATATTAGATCAGTAAAGGAGCAACGCTGGACGCGGGTAGGTTTTAGAACCTCGATATGACAAACCTTTACCGCTCATTCACACTGGAAGCGGATCCACGTTTGCAAAGCGGTTGCGGACGCAGTTGTATAAAGATCCCGTACAATTCGCCGCGCACTCGATGACATCAAGTGCGCGTGCAATTGTACTGGATCCTTATTCAACCGCGTTCGCAACCGCTTTGCGAACGCGGATCCGCTTCCAGTGTGAATGAGTGGTTACTCCGGAGCGAGATCAAAAATCACGGCCGCGAAAATTCGCAGACGTGACCAAGACGCTGCGGGCACATTACTGCGTGGGCGAAATGGATTGCATGCACTTTAAACTGACTGCATAAATCGGTTTCTTAACGTATTGCTCTGGGATTTACTACAGAGGTTCTCGAGGTTGGTGCATTAATTAATTGAGGATATGAATACATGAAACGTCGAGATTCAAGAGAAAGAAAATGAAAACTGGTTTTGTGTATCGAAACATGATCGATAAACCTCTTATCTAAAAACAATAAAAACAAAATCGCTGTGGGCTATTCTGGCGTTTACTACAATTAAAACATTTCTAAAAAAAAGGATTGGCTTTCCTATATCTTATTTTATTTGGCCGAATAAGCACCGCGGTAACATAATATGTTTTTAGTGTGAATGCAAAGTATAGGGAAAACAAAGTTTTTGATTTTTCTTGATTTACTCAGGTGAGCCAATTCTTCCACAATTTTACCGAAAACATTTACAAACTTCAGGCTCCTCTGTAGCAAATTATAGTGCGATGAGTTACGAAACCGGTTTATGCGGTCAGTTTAAAGTGCGTTCAATCCATGTCGCCCACGCTGTAGAAGAAGTCGACGGGGCAGCGTTTCACTATGCGACGTAAGGTGAAAGCTTCCACTGGTGGTGCTGCCAACCGGCTGCCAAGTCGCAGCGGCGCTCCCCCTTTAGGTGCCGCACGCTCCCACTAGCTTTAGACGTGTATCTTTATTTGAGGAAGCGGAAAGCCTTATATTAATGGCTGTGACTTGTACTACCCTAATTTAGGGAAGGCAAAGTTAGCGTGTACCAACGTTACTATAACACTCTATTAGGAAACACACCCTTGAAACTCGGACCGCTCGCGTCCATCGAGACCTAACTAAATCTGAGCCATGTATTAGGAGAGTTTGGCCATCCATTGGTTTAAATAGGCGAGCATGTAGTGGCCAACCACAGGCCGCGAAACAGCCCCTAGAGGTCGTGAGCTCGAAAAATGCGACTCGACTAATTTAAGCTGCTGTAGCGTCGCTAAAGTGAAAAAGGTATAACTCTTGGTGACTGAAAACTTGGAACATCTCAGGTTTTCGTTTAGTCCTTTTAGAGCGCAGCTCTTAGGGGCCCGTTTCCGGCTTGAGCGGCGTCGCCGTCGCCGTCGGCGTAACCGCGCGGTGCATTATGGGAAATGTCCCATAATGCACTGTGCGAGCCCCCCCCCCTGAGGTCACGTGACCCCCCGATGACGTCATCGTCACTGATGACGTCACCGGCATCCGCATCGTCATCATCACTGATGACGTCACCAGCATCCGAATCGCCATCGTCATCATCACTGATGACGTCATCAGTGACGTCACTGATGACGTCATCGGTATCCGCATCGTCATCGTCACTGATGACGTCATCGGCATCGTCACGTGACCCCCCCCCCTCCCCCGAGGTCACTTGACCCACCCCCCAAGTACCCTTCCCTCCTCCTCAAGAGCTGCGCTCTAATTCGGCGTTACAGGGAGTTATAAACGGCTTTCACTTTTTAACGGTAGAATGCGTGCGCTCCAAACCAGAGCAAGCTGCGTAGTCGCGATAATTGCTGCTGAATAGATATCGACGACATTGTCACCGAGACGCCGAGATTGAACGCTGCTATTTCACGCCTTAAATGTAATTTTCAATCTTATGACGTCACGGTTCGCTGATTAGTCGACGCGGTGTCGTACTTTTAGTTTACGCTCTAACCGCAGAGAAAATATTCGGCGCTGGAAGCTCCGCCCGTTGGCCAGACTCACTCAATATACGGCCCTGAATTAAATACAATATTAGCGCCACCCTTTAGCGACGAGTCAAAACACGAAAGTTGATTTATATTGCTACTGCGAAGTGACACTGCGAGATGGCGCCCCATTGAAAAAACCAGCTTAAGCTGGTCCCAGCTTCAAGCTGGGTTATTGCCCCAGCATGCCCAGCTTGGCATGCTGGTCATGCTGGTTGATCTGGTCATACTGGTCATGATGGTTGATCTGGTCCCAGCTTCAAGCTGGGTTATTGCCCCAGCATGCCCAGTTTGGCATGCTGGTCATGCTGTTAAACTGGTCATGCTGGTGAACTTCCCAACCAGTTTAACCTGTTTAAATTAATACACAGAATAAAAAAGCCAAGCTCGTCAGAAAAGCCAACTCGGCATCCAATTTATTATTTTCGTACTTGCGGCAGCCTCACATGAACTCAAATGCTACACATCCTCGGCGCTGACACAGTACTAACCGACGCACAGATTCTCGGTGCAAATTGTCTACAATGTTAATAAAACCAGATTGCTTATCTCTCAACACGAAAAAAATACTAGACACAGGCCAAAAACAGGCAATAGCAGACGAAAATACTACACGGACGAGAGAAGCGAACCTGGGTCCCGCCAGCGATGGGGGCGAAGCGGCAACTTGCGTGGTCGGCAGAGGCGAGGAAATCCGTGTGGCTTGGATGGCATTGGCGATACTCCTCGGCACCGCCGTCATTCTTGGGCACACACACGTTCGAAGACACGAAGCGACGCCGCAGTCGGGACGTCTGACATCTTCCCGCACTGAACGGACTGCCGCTCGCTGTCTTCTCAAAACCCGCTTCGCTTGCACCGTCGTTCAACTAGTCTCCAAACAACGCGCACACAGCCGTCCCTTCGATCTGCCCTCTGCCCAAGCTATCCAAACGCGTCTTCGATTCTCCGTTTCTACCACTCTCTCTCTCTCTCTCTCTCTTTTCTCGCACACAAAGGTAGCTTGCAGCGCGCCTGACGCGCCCGGTGGTCTACCAAAAACGAGAGGACAAAGAACAGGACGTGGCCTCGTTCCAGCAGCCGACCTTGTCGCGCGCGCTCCCAGCAATGCCAGTTCGGCTATCTCTAGCCGACCTTGGCGTGCGCGCTCCCAGCATGACCAGCTTGACCACCACGATTATTATTTCGACCAGATTCACCAGCTTGTCTCCCAGCATGACCAGCTCGTCTCCCAGCTTGACCACATTGGCTCCATGGAAAACCAGTTTGACCAGTTAAGACCAGACTGGCTCCCAGCTACACCAGATTGAATCTAAAACCAGATTCGAGTGAGACCATGCTGGTTTTTACTTAGACCAGACTGACCAGCTTAAATTCCAGCTTGCCCAGCTTAAACCAGCTTGATTGCCAGCTAAACCAGTTTAATTACCACATTGACCAGTTTGACCACCTTGATTACCAGCTTGACCACCTTAATTACCAGCTTGACCAGTTTGATTTTCATGCTGGTTTTTCCAATAGGGCGCCAAAGGCGGTTGCGTGGCTCGACCTGAACAGATACGTACAGACGTGCGGTTCCCGGAGTCGTCGCAGCGGAAGAAACGGCGGCGTAGCAGTCGTTTTTAGTTCGGTTCTCGAGTACGAATCGAAACCACTTTTGTAGCGTGAGCTACACTGGCCGAGGTTGAGCAGTTTCGCGTGGCTCGCATAATGAGCCGTGCTCCGTGCTGTGCAAGCGCGAGGAACAGTGACGTCACACGGTGCACAGCTGGCGCGCCGGAGACGCCTCCACCGCGGGCTCCGCCACCCCCGCGCGCGCCTCGCCAGTCTGCGCAAGCGCGAGGAGCAGTGACGTCACACGGCGCACAACTGGCGCGCCGGAGCCGCCGCCGCCGCGCGGGCTCCGCCGCCACCGCGCGCGCCTCGTCGGTCTTCGCATTCCAAAGGAGTGACGTCATAGCCGCGACAGACGCGAAAAGACGCCGAGGGAAGCTATAGACCCTTTCCGCAAGGGTGCCGCCTTCTTGAATTGTCGTCCTTTCCAGTATGGGCGAAAACATTGTTTTGCCGTCGCCGCGCCGATAAAAGGCATTTAGGACATAAGCGTAACCGTCACCCATTCTCGTTTTGCCTCCCCTCTATTTTTTTACTATTTGCAGGTTGAAACGTTTTGATATTTTTTCGTCGCCCATACCGGATATGCCTACTTGGCGGTCGGGGGCGAGAGTAAGCGGAAAAGGTCTATACAGACGCTATTTACGCCCGTGGAGTGTACATGATGGAACGCTAGGACGCCGCTTCACGTCACGTACGTCACGATTAAATGGTCGCGTCTCGCGGACGCTATCGGAAGCGCTTCTTTTGTGGTCGTGTCTCGTGAACGCTACAGCTCCCCCTGGCCGAGAGAAACAGACCTATAGCCATGGTGAAGGAGAGGGAAATTGCTCCTCAGCGGCGCAGAAGGGCGGCGAAGCTTAACTCGGATCCCGAAGTAGTTGCCCGGCAATTAGCTGTTGAGCGTAGGAAGACGGAACAGAAGAAGGCTAAACGTGCTGCGGAGACATCGGAGCAAAGGGAGGAACGTCTAGCAAAGCGGCGTCGCCAGGGGGCTGAACGACGTGCCCGACCATCTCAGCAGCAGCAACAACAAAACGCCGTCGATGACGTCAAGGCTCGCCGATTGACTGAATATACGGTGAAACTTAGCGAAAGCGTCAGTGCGACTCGGGCCTTCGAGACGGACTTTGTAAACAATATACGTTTGGATATGTGTGCGACGTGTGTGAAAGACTGTGGCACATGAAAGACTTGACGCCGGTAAGTAGTGCCATGCGTGAAACGTTGAGTTTAGCGGCGCCGCCTGGAGTGGAGTGAAACCGTGGCGCGGGTGTGTACAACGTGCAAGAACTTTCTTGTTAAGCAGAAGATTCCACTCTTTAGCGTTACCAATGGGTATCGTTACCCGCCCATGCCACCAGGTCTACCGGTTCTAAACGATGTGGCCGAACGTGCCAGTGTTCCAACCGTACAGTCGACCCAATGGGGAATCACCATTGATATTGTGTATCAGAGACAGACAATCAATTCCAAATACTGCATTGGGGCCATAGAGACGGCAGCGTGTTACTACACTGACCACAGAGCCGTCTTTGTGGCAATAGAGAAACAACCAGACGTTGAGCAAAAAAAAATAAATATACATGTGTCACATAATGCGTATACCGTATGTGTGTCATTAAAGCAGCAGTAAGCATGATAATCAAGCTAATCATAGACAACCAGGAAAGCTAAGAATAACCAGCTGAACCTAAGCTCACGCTACGTATATCCTGGCATAGCCGAGCTAAGGCACTGCAATTTTTTCAAAGCAGGTTCTACAGCAGTTTCTTAAGTGAATTGTTCCAGTAACGTTGGCGTGTACATCGCAAAGCGTGGAATGTTCGAGACATGCAGCGTCTTTGGTTTCCTTTTTTTTGGCAAGGTTGCCACGCAGTAGTACCTGCGCGGAAATATTCCCATGACAGGCGTGTTCCTCTGCAGCTCTGTGCACGCCATTAGAAAAACGGAACGTGCAAGCATTCTCCGAGAAATGATCACTTCAACCATTCCCGAACAATTTCACGTCTCATGCGTCAATGGATGCGAAAGACGTAGAAAATATACGCAGCTTCTCAGTGGCCCCGGCATGAGCGGAATGCGTGATTGGTGGAACTTTTGGAGGCTATATTATTGAACAATCAAAAATATTGCACCTTGATTTGCTCTCGCGCATAGCACGTATATATCAGAAGCAGAGCATATTGCGTGACTTTGATTTTGAAGCGCACGGAAAAGAATATGCAGGTTGTTTCCGGAAACGCGGGCAAAATCGCTGCTCCGAAAACTACGCATCGCACAGAAAATCGGTGTCGAATGACCCATTAAAAAAATTATTAGCTGTCAATGCAATTGGGAAAACAATAATTTTTGTAATTAAATTGTTAATTTTTGATTTTAAAGGGACGGTTTTAATAAAACTCCTGCTGGGTTTTGCCGAAAACTACCATATTACCATGATATAGGACACGCGCAGAATTTCACGGCGTTCCGAAAAAAGGCCCGATTTTGACGCATTTTTGGGTTTCAGCTTCTTATCGGGGCACATCACGTACCTCGCGGGCAGTCACGCCCCCCCCCCCCCCCCCCCCCCCCCCGTGTCTAAAGCGCGCAAAGTGCGTGCGCCGCCGCGCATCGCACGTAAAGGTTTGACTTCACACTTGCACCGACGTCAAAAAAGGCAAACCTCACGCGACAGTCCAGAGGATTTCTTATCTAGTCTCTGCTACGCGCGATGCGTTGAGGCGAACGCACGCACGTTGCGCGTTTTAGACACGGGGGCGGGGGGCGTGACTGCGCGCGCGGAGATGCGCTCCGATAAGAAACCGAAACTCAAAAATGCGTCCAAATTGAGCATTTTTTCGGAACGCCGTAAAATGCGCCGTGCCTCTTGTATCATTGTAGCGTGGTGTATTTAGTAGGTTTCGATGACGCCCACCAAGATTCTAATTGCAGGAATATCTTTAACATCAATAATTAAGAATTTGTTTACTTAAAATTAATTAATTACCCAATTATATTGAACGCTAATAATTTTCCTTAATGGGCCCTTTGACACAGACCACTACGGTATCAACCTTTTTTCTGTGCGAGGCATAGCTTTCGTAGGAGCGATTTTGCCCGCGTTTCCAGGAACACCCTGTACAGAAACGTACTGACTAATCAGAGCCGGTTGACAATGCGTCACCCGTATGTAAATGTTTTTCATTGAGTGGCAGCACCGCTCATTATTGTCGCGTTGTCCCTTTTTACCTGTTCGATTATTGTAACACACAGTGTTTTTTCTGGCCCAAAAAGAGAAATCAGCCTTTTGCTAGCTGGCTGTACTTCCGACTTGTCCCTATTTCCAAATGTGTTCTTCAGAGGACGTTTTCGAAAACGATGTTTTTCAGCCGTCTACGGGCCCCTACTGTTAAATAAAATTAATCCGAACGTCAAATGCATGGGTGAACAAAAATATTGTTCGAATATCGGTGACCTTTCTTGTTTCTAGTGTTAAAAAAACAAAAAGTGTACAGATTAAAAACAAATCGTGCGTTTATTTGATTGCAGATTACTTTACACACTACTAACATCATGATGTGAACAAGGCGATGTAATCCCTTGTGTCTGGTAAAATGTTTGTAAAGGTGTATAAATGAATCTGAGTTACTGTTGAACAGACTTAAGTATATTCAAGAGTAATTCTGGTGCACTTCTATAGAAGAGGCACATAATTGTAGAAGCGCGCAAATATTAGTGCACAGCGCACACAGTGAAAATCTAGAGAAGCATCTATGACAATAATTCGGGTTGCAAACCGCGGCCCTTTTTTGTTTCTGATTATGTTTCATTGAAAATGTTTTTTTTTTTTTTTACGAAAAGCTTGTATTTTTAGTGCGGTTAAAGTAAAAATATTCATAAAGCGAAAACAAATAGTACTTTGACATCAAGTCGAGGATTTTTTAAACCAAATATGGAATACTAGTAATACCGATATTAAAAAGCGCATCAACAGTCCAGTCGATCAGTTTCGTTTCGTAAAGTTTTATTTGAGTCGCTTAATAATGTCGTCACGACGACGAAATACCTTGTTACAAATATTGCGACAACAGCTATAAACGCCCAAGCAAAGTGCTCGAAATTTTTGTTTTCTTTTTAGATACCATAAACAAAAGCGACGTCGCCGTGGGAAGCTATGACTTATTCACGCTAAATGTAATTGCGAAACGCCTTCTTCTTGAATTCAGAGTGAGCCGAACTTTGGCTGCTAATTCTGGGATGTTAAATGTAGTGAAAAGAAAACCTCTTCCGAAAGATCAGAGACAGGAGCAAAAGTAACGCCTTATCAACCAATTTCTAATTTGACGCTAATTGGTTGGCTCTCGGATAGTTTTATACAGGAAATGTCGAGAAATCAAAGGTAAGCGATAAATATAAAAAGGAAATCCACAGCTTTAGTTTTGGTTTTGTTCGGCACCGACTGTCACGCTGGATATATCGGATCCCTAATTAGGAAAATGAGAACGTTGCGCGAGATTGAGCAGGGGAAATGGCAAGGTACCTCATTACCGCCGAGGAACGGTGCCCAAGTAGAAAAAATGAGTACCGCCCAAATCTTGAAGCCCACTTTGGCATTTGTCTAGAGCAGTAAGTCCTGTCGAAGATACTTTCCTTTTCGCCTTTTGGCTCGAACTGTTTCTGAAAATGGTATCTCCTTCCACTGAGCGCAGGCTTCACTCGAGTAATTAAAATGTTTTCCGAGGATCAGCCATATTCTACGTTAAGTTAGTTTTAAGTTTTTTGTTTGATTCTGAGTTCAAAGGTAATCTTGCACCTCTTTTGTTGTATATTCGTACTTTGATGTAAAACCTTTGAGATGATTATCAGGTTACTCAAATGTTTAAAGCAAAATGGAGAAAGGTCCTATGTCATTTAACGACGGTCTTTTCGCTGCATCGAGGTAAAAAAGGATAATTTATTTCATCAAGTTTTGACAATCAATTTGCTGCTTGCAAACATAAATTTCTCAATAAAAAAATTGCTGCGCCATTTGGAAAACATTTGAGCTTGACACATCAAGGTAGCAGTCAAACATATTGAATAAAAATCCTACGGTCATAGCAAAAGCAAGACAGGCCGTGTTGCAACAAAAAAAGAAAAAAAGAATGAGAAACCGTATGCAGCTAAGGAGCCTTAAAGCTGCAGGCTTGGGTGTGTGTATTGCTTGAATTGTGCTAAAACGTCCATACTTCTTTACGTCTTCTCGATTCGACAACGACAGCAGGCATCACTTTGTCCTCATCTCTAATAATATTCTTAATTGGGGACGTGGACTGAGCGCGAGACACCTATCAAATACGCCCCTGCATATTAGAGAATGATGATGTAAAGACCAGGACGAGCGCAACATCGAAGGCCTATAGAGTTACGATAACGCAGGAAAGTTAAGCCATGAGCAGCAACAGTGCGCCGGCAGGATATTAATGCGAAAGCATTAACTGTCTTATGGAGCGAGCTGACGTCATCAGTTTGAAGCGCAAAAACGGCTCCTGGTTTCCACGATCCCATTACGAGCGATTCGCCTTCGGTTCCATTGGCTGGCGCGCGTCGACGGGGCTCCCATTGGCCGCTGCGCCGTGGCCTCCGAGATCCGGAAGCGCGCGCGCGCTAGTACGCAGCAGACGACAAAGGGAGCGGACGAGCAGACGACGAAGGGAGCGGACGAGCAGACGACAAAGGGAGCGGACGAGCGGCTTGGATGCTTTCGCATTCACAACTCATAAGAAGTGCTTAGGTAAGTACCTCGAGCTTTTTTCAGTGGCTGTTTGACGTTTGCCGTGACTATT